TTGGGCATTATACAGTCCTGGGTTGTAACAGGTTTGCTAGTGTGAATCTCCTTCATATATTGAATTAACTATCTCACAGTTATGCGGTTGTTTATATATTTCAGAAATCCTTTCATATTAATTTTTATATGTGATTTTCATGAACACCCCATGAAATGTGTAGGGCATGCATTATCCTCACTACTTGCCAGATGAGGAAACAGACTTAGATCAAATGATGTGCTGTATATATTGTAGCAAGTTAGGGACAAAAGCAAATCTCGGACTCTCAGAGGTTTTGATGCTTAGGACATTTTTATTTATTTATTTATTTATTTATTTAATTTTATTTTTTTTTAAGCTTTTTATTTATTTGCGAGAGAGACAATGAGAGACAGAGAGCATGAGAGGGAGGAGGGTCAGAGGGAGAAGCAGACTCCTTGCTGAGCAGGGAGCCTGATGTGGGACTCAATCCCGGGACTCCAGGATCATGACCTGAGCCGGAGGCAGTCGCTTAACCAACTGAGCCACCCAGGCACCCTAGGACATTTTTAAAGTTACTAGTTGTCTCATTTGATCTTCCTGACTGTCTTATGAAAACTGGGAACTTACTTAAGGTCACCCAACTCATAATGTAGTTTTGCCTATTTTCACTGACCTATTCTGCCTCTCCAGATATTCTCTAATAAATAAATTTGACAGTTTCTGGATAAATTCACCAAATCCATGCTTAACCTAACTAAGTAGGTCTCTTGACACTAAGGGAGGAAAAAGTCTCCATCATCTTTGGGTCTCAGTCTGGGCCTAAGCATTAAACTGATATAAGACAGATTAGCAGTAGAAAAACATACAAACTTTATTAAACTTTTACAGGGGAACCTTCAATGAAGACCCAAAGAAGTAACCAGAATAGGAAGCTTTTATACATTTTAGACAAAGAAACAATAAATTTGTGAAGAATTGACAAGACCCAGAGGAGTCTGGGCTAGGGGTAGTAAATGGTGAAGAAGTAACGAGGAAGAGAAGGATTAGCTTAATAAGATTTCTTTGTACAGGTTTCTCAGCTCCTAGTTCCCCATCTCTGGTGATAAGAATGTCTGCCTTCCTCCTGGTACAAGGGAGGATACCTTTCACATGGGAGCTTTTTATCTTTTACTTTGAGGACAAAAAAAGGAGAGTCAGAGTGTCCTTGCACCTGCTGTTACTTAAGTACCTTTGATTCAAAATAATCAAAATATCAAAATGGCATATTTGGGGGTGACATTCTGGTTTCCTACAACACGTAGTCAGATGTTCATGTTGTCACTTGAGTTAGTTGGTAATTCAGTATTTGTCATCCTACTGTGACTTGAGTGGAATCTTCACTGAGTTTTGATAGAGCATAAGGTAGTGCTCCTTGCTATGGAGAGTTTATTTTTTGAGCACACTTAAGTGCAAAAGCAGTGTGAAGAGATGGCTCTCAGCTGTATTTGAGTATACTTGGGTGAGGCGACCTACTTGGCATGATTCACTTTGCCATTTTGAAAGAGGGATTTAGATTTGGAATAGGACTTCCATTCATTCTAATTTTTAAATTAGAAACCATATTATTTCAGGCTCTCTTACTTTCAAAAACAGTATCTACTCAAATATTTGATGAGTTATTATTTTGTTTGAAGATTATTTGGTGAAATTCAGTTCTTGATGTGAGTTTCAGTAATTGGAAGAAAAGTTTTTAATACCCAGAAGTGGGATTGCTGGGGCATATGGTAGTTTTAGTTTTCTTTTTTTGAGGGATCTCCACACTGTTTTCCACAAGACTGCATCAGTTTACATGCCCAGCAATAGTGCACAAGGCTTCCCTTTTCTTTTCTCCACAGCCTTGCCAACATTTGTTACCTCTTGTCTTTTTGATGATAGCCATTCTAACAGGTGCGAGGTGGTATCTCATTGTGGTTTTGCTTTGCATTTCTCTAATGATGAGTGATGTCGAGCACCTTTTCATATTCCTGTTGGCCATCTGTATGTCTTCTCTGGAAAAATGCTTATTTCGATCCTCTGCCCATTTTTAAAAGCAGATTATTTGTTTTAATGAAGTGTAGTTGACACACAATGTTAAATTAGTTTCTGGTGTATAAACATAGTGATTCCTCAACTCTATACATTGTGCTGTGCACACAGCAAGTGTCACCATACAAAGCTATTACAATATCTTGACTATATTCCTCATGCTGTCCCTTTCATCCCTGGGACTTACTCATCCCATAACTGGAAGCCTGTACCTTCCATTCCCCTTCACCCATTTTACCTATCCCCCTACCTCCTGCCCTTGTGGCAAACACCAATTCTGTATTTTTAGGTCTGTAATTGGAAATTTTAATGTTTTCTATAATACATCCACTGGCTGGATGTGGACAATTGATAGTATGAAACTGTGGGTCTAGGACTGAGAAGGGAAGGAAAAAGAGTTTTTTTTAAGTGCATTTGTGTATTGGGCATGAAGGATTATAATTATATTTAAAAGGTGAAGATTTTCAACTTTCCATACGACTGAATTAGCATAAAAATATTTTTCTTACCTCCGTGAAGAAAAATGCTATATCCAAGTTACCATAATATTTCTAGTATTATTGAGGGGAGAGACCACCATTAAGTGTAACTGAAACAGAGCTGGATTTCATACTTGCTAAGCAAGGGAGAGCTATGCTTGCAGAATATAATCATTGAAGCAGGCAGAGATGTATTTAAATAGGGTTTTAAAGAAGCATGGAGTTTTAGGATTGGCTTACTTTCAGTGAGACAATTTAGGGATTGGCCAACTTTAAACTTAGAGTTTGGGGACTGGCTGGCGTTTGAGGAGCAAAGGTACAGAAGCAAGGCAGTTGCTGATCGGCTCACTTCCTCAGCTGAGTGCTTAAGTGGAAATGTTGACTGGAGTTTAAGGATTGATAGACTGGGGCATATTTAAAACCGGTTCTGTGGTTACTTGTTCCCAGCTTGGAATAGAGCCAAAGAATAATCTTTTCCTTTCTTGTAGCTGGAGAATAGGTACTTTTATTTTCCATTGACATTTGTGTCAAACATTTATATTAGCAGTTGCGCTAATATACACTTCTGATTTTGCTTTTCTTCTCAAACTTTTAAAAAAAGAAATGAGTGCAGTGACTGTCATTTGTTTTCTATCTACCATTCAAAGGATTATATGTTATTTGGGACCCAGGCGGCTTCAAGGATTATTTTTATATATAGTTAAAAAGGTAATACGTTATTTATGGAAATACTTTAATGTATTGCTTATCTTTAAACACTATGGTGAAAGCTGTTACTTTTATGTCTGTTTTTTTCTCTCGTGGGAGTGCATCTTACCATATGCCTGCCAAAAGTAGTCTTGATGGATGCTGACTTATAGATCTGAAAGTTTGTTGTTTTTGCTGTTGTTAGAGATACATCTAGAAGTGATGACTTTTTGAAAGTTAATTAACAATTATTCTTGTCAGCATTTTAGAAGGTTAATGATTATAGTGTATGTCTTTTATATAAGGTAGGCTGAATTATTTTAGTATCTGTGAATCATTTTACCACAATTATAGTACCATTTTTATAAAGTATTTTGGTTTAATTTTTATTTTATAATATTTTTATTCAGAATGAAATAAAGAGCTGTTTATGACTATTTACTGGAACTCTGACAAAAAGTAGATAATTTTCTAAATTGATCTCTCACAGTAATATTTTAGTTTTAAAAATGTTTTCCTTTGAGATGCTAAAATAAACTCAGAGGACATTCTTTGTATTAGAAGTTAGAGAAGGCAAAATTAGTTTTTGGTATACTTTCTTTGTTGTATTGAAGTTTTATTAAAAATACCCTGTGTACTGTATTTACATATGAAATAAGCTCATAATATTTAAAAAAAAGAATGAATGGGTAGCGGGTATTGTCATGTTTATATGTAGCCCCTGTTTCCTTCCTTGACCTACAGCTTGTGCCATACCTCTCTGCCTTCTAGACAAGTATTATCCAGTGATAAAGCTACATTTATGATTTGGATAAAGCATTTTTATGTGAAAGCTCTTTGAAAATGTGAAGCCTAATTCTTGTATTTGTTTACAGTCCAAATTTCTGACCTGCTATGATAGTTAACCTTCAGAGCTTAATCTCAACCCAGTACTAAAATTAATATATTGTTTATGAAGTGCTATTGCTTAATTACTAAATGATACTCAAACATTTTTATCCTCAACATTTAAATTTTACAAATTTATACTAAGTAGGTACTTAGATTTTCTAGGAAAAAGATAGCTTCGATGCCTGAGTATGGTTACTGGGATTATTTATGTGCTTTATTTATGTGTGTGAAATAATGGATTTGAAATGTGGTTTTTCTCTGTGCATATGCAGTAAATAGTTGGGCTTTTATTGCCTAGTGAAGTGATCAAAAAAAGAATCCTAAGTTAGATGATCTTCTGTAGTAAAATGGAAAAAACCCATTATCTGCTAATATAATGGGTATAGAATGGTATCTCATAGTTTTATTTTGCATTTCTTTAATTACCAGTGAGCCTCAGTTTCTCTTCATTTACTTGTTAGCCATACAGATTTCACCTTTAGTTGTCAGATTTAGCAAATAAAAATATAGGACAACCTGTTAAATTTGAATATTAGGTAAACAACAAATAAATTTTGAGTATAAGTATATACCCTTGCATTAGTTGGGATATACTTATACTGAATTTTTTTATTGCTTATCTTTAAGTCAAATTTAATGGGGCATTCTATAGTTTATCTTTACCTTCTGTAAATTGTCTGCTGCTGTCTCTTACCAAATTTTTAATTGCATTTCCTGTCTTCTTGTTATCTTAAAGAGTTCTTGGCATACACTGGATATTAAATGCTTTTTTTTTTTTTTAAAGTTGCAAACATATTTTTCCAGTCTCCTGCCTGTTAACTTTATAATGTTTTTTGTTGAATAACAAGTCCTTAATTTTGATGGAATCAATTCTTTCAGTTCCATCAGAATTTTCCCATGTTGTTTATACTTTTGAGATCTTAAGAAACTTTTATCACTCCAAGGTCACAAATATATCATCCTACTTTTTGTTTCATTAGCTTCATAGTTTTACCTTTCACATTTAGATCTTTAATACATTTGGTGTTTATTTTAAGGGAAGAGTATTAGGAAATGAAGTGAGAGAGGTAATGGAGGGAGCAGATTGCATGGTGATTGTAGGCCGTTGGGAGGACTTTGGTTTTTATGCTCAGTGAAAGAGGAAGCCAGTGGAGGTTTTGCACATAGGGTGCCACAGTCTGAAATCTGAAATATGTTTTTAAAAAAATTTCTGATGACTCTTGAGAATAGATTGTGTGAGGTATGGCAGAAACTGTTGTTAATTCTTCCCCAGTATCTAGGATATCCTTTTCTCTGTTCGTATCTGAATCTCTCTTAGAGACTGTATTTTCCAGCTTCCCCTGACTTTAGGAGATTGTCTACGTGATTAGGTTTGGGCCAATTAAATGTGAGCAAAAGTGGTATGTGCAACTTCTGGGTTATCTTCTTAAAGATGAGGTGCTAGTCCTATTCCTCTCTCTATGCCACCCCGCTTCCTACTGACTAGAAAGCAGCAACAACCAGAATGGCAACAGCTGCCTTGAACCCAGAGGTAGACATCCTGTGATGAGGGTGGCAGAGCCATCCCTAGTCAGCCTAGGTCCCCAGATGACCATGGGGGACAGAACCAACTACTACTCACCCTCCCCAAAGCACCGGCCTATCCCTGTGCTATTTCCAGGAAGAGAATAAACTTTCTTGTTTGAGCCGCTGTATTTGTCATCATTTTATCCCAGCAGCTTTCCCCATATCCAATATAGTGCCAAAATTGGTACCCACAGTGGGGTGTTGCCATAATAAATTGCGAAAATGCATGGTACTGGCTGAGTGGTTAGCCAGCAGACAGTAGGCACCATGTTATAGGCTGGAAAACTGGTGACACTTGTTATGCTATGGCAGAACACTTAGTGAAGCTGTCACCTCTGATAACTTGGAAGGGCATGGATGTGTCTGTCCAGTTTGTACCTCCAGGAGAGTGGTTAGAAAGACTGCTGTTGGGGCGCCTGGGTGACTCAGTTGGTTAAGCAACTGCCTTTGGCTCAGGTCATGATCCTGGAGTCCTAGGATCAAGTCCCACATCAGGCTCCCTGCTCAGCAGGGAGTCTGTTTCTCCCTCTGACCCTCTCCTTCTCATGCTCTCTCTCTCTCTCATTCTCTCTCTCAAATAAATAAAATCTTTAAAAAAAATTAGAAAGAGTGCTAATGTAATTAAAAAAAAAATAGAAGGATGGCTAACACGAGTTGACTAGCTGCTTTAGCAAGGAACTGCAAGAGGGTGTAAAGTAAGAGAACAATTAGCTAGTTTGCACTTAGAGGGGGTATAAATTTGCTAACGGAGTTCTGTACGACCGTGGCCTATGCTTCGCATTGACTGAAAGGACAGTGTAATACGGGGTATTGCAGGGTTGGAAAAAATAGTTTCTTTTTCCCGAACAGCAAGAAGTTAGATTCGTTTTTAGGAACCTTCGTCAGATTTTCTTGGCCAGAGCAAAGTGGAAGCCAGGCTAGGCAAGGATCATATTAAGGATTTATCTTCCCACCTGAACCAGTCACTTAAGCTAGGTAAAGCTCCAGTTACAGAGTCTCAGTTCCCTAGGACAACAAGGGTTTATTTCTTACTTAGGACATGTCTATGGCTCTGTTCCACCATCCTCTACCACTTCAAGCCAAAGGAATAGGCTTTTTGGGGACATTGCTATTCTGTTTCAGAGGGAAGGGAGACATAGCAGAACCAGCTGCTTGGAAGAGACATGTGTTACTTTTGTTCATATTTTATTGGCCACAGCTAATCGAGTGGCTGAGCCTGAAATCATTCAGGCAGAAAGAACATTTTAAGTCACATGGCTTGCCCTGATGTGAATGGGGTGTGGTGGTGGTACAATCATCCTGCCGTGTGAATCAGATGCTCTCAAGTTAACTAACCTTAAATTGAGGGAGAGAGGGATGCATCTGCCTCAGAGGTCAGCTAATAATAGAGAAGGACAGAATTGACAAGCTTAGCATCTACCATCAGACTGAATTTTGAGTTGTGGTTACTTTCGTGTGGCACTGGCTGAAGACAAAGAGACCTATGGAGGTTTTGAGAGGATTATGTTGGCAAAGATGCTACAAGTTTAGCTTGCCAAAACCTGTGGTGGTTTGACACTGTTTGACAACTAAAGCAATCTTTGACCCCCAAACATGTACCCCCAGAAAATAGGCTATTAGCCCTTTCCTGCCTCTTTGGAGCACATACTCTCTTATGTTCACTTCATATATTGCCAGAAAGGATAACAGAAGAAAGTATCTTCCAGAGACAAAGCCAGGCTCTAGCAGACAAATGGACAAGGGAATCCGTCCCCTTCCTACAGACCCCCCTGCCCCCACCCCCACCCCAGCACAGAACCTCAGTTTAACCAAGGAACTTGCTTCCCTGGTAGAGTGGGGACTGCCATTCCTGTCCAGCAGTATTCATCATTGGTAAGAATAGTATTTGCCATTCTTTTCAGAATGGAAGACTTAATTGCATTAATCTTATTTGTATTCCATTGTATATTGGTTGTAATGGTGGTGGTAGAGAGCAAAGTTACTTAAGTCTGTTAGTTTGTAGGTCATTGGACGGGGACAGAGACACATTGATATCTGTTGAAGAGGTTGTGTGTCACCCAGAGATCTTAGACTTTGAGCTGAATCCAATAACTGGATGGGACTTCAGGTTATCCCTTTAGAAAAGGAGAGGAATGTTTCAGAGTGGGAAGAAGGATGCACTCCCATTTCTGATATTTTGCTGCCACATAGCTCCTATTTCTTAGGCTCCTTGCCAGAAGAGACCACATACCTACGTTTTGGCCAGTGGATGGGAGTGGAGGTGATGTGTGCACATCCACATTCGTATTAAAAATCTGCTGTCTGTCATATTCTTTTTGCTCCGCCCCCATGGATGAGGTGTGGGCGCGCCAGCTTCCATCATACAGGCAAGGGCAGTGCCCCAGGGGAGTGGCAGGACAGGAAAGAAGGAACCTCAGTCCCATGACTACTACATGAGAGAGAAGTGAACTCCTCTTCCGTTGGTGCTGCTACATTCTTGGTCTTGTTATAGCAGTTCAGCCTATATCTTGGTTAATACAGACGGCAGAGATGAAAATAGGAAACAAACATGGGAAATTCAGTTTGGAATTGTTCTTAGTGGTTTTTTTTCACTTGAAGCTTTTCGTTTATATATTTCTGTGAAAGTTTATCTTTCAAATTGTCTAACAAAGAATTTAGAAATAAACTCCTTTATTTGAACATCATTCCTGTTGTGATTTCCTTTTTATTTCATATGCATAACATATTCTTGCAACAATTTTGTATCCTGATATTTTCATGTGCTGTCCATTTTCTTTGTTGCTGTAGAGTTCTTACACTTGTACAGTTATTGTTGTTATAGAACATTGGGTTTTTACCATACTTGTATGACTGTTGGCTGCTATGGGATGAATTGTGTTCCCCCAATTCATATGTTGAAGCCTTAATCCCCTATGTGACTATATTTGGAGATAAGGCTTTTAGGGAGGTGACTAAGGTTAAATGAGGTTATAAAGGTGCTCCAATAGATCCAGTAGAACTGGTATCCTTATAAGAAGAGGAAGAGACCCCAGAGCTCTCTGCCATGAGAGGATACAGTGAGAAGGCAACTGTCTGCAGCTCAGGAGGAGGGTTTTCACCAGAACCAGATTATACAGCCACCTTGATCTTGGACTTCCAGCCTCCAGACTGTGAGAAAAATACATTTTGTTCTTTAAGCCACCCACTCATGGTATTTTGTTATGGCAGCCCAAGCTAAGACAGCCCAGGTTTTTAACTGCTATACCAGATGCAAGGGGCTTTTCTCAGATCCATCAATAGCAAAGAAAACTGCAAAGAAGAGTCCAAAAGAGGAGAACACCAAGAAAGAGTAATGTTACTGAAGCCAAGAGACAAGCATTTTAAAATTGAGAATGTCAGTATTAAATTGACAGGTCTAATAAATTCTGAATGAATTTTCAGTTAAGAAGTCATTGTATTTTGGAGAGAGTTTTGTGTTTGCACGAAGTCCAGATTGCAGAGGTTGACTAGTGAATTGGGGGTGGTGGTGGGAGTGGTAGAAATAATGAGTTTAAACCCTTTTTTCAAGATACTTGGCTGTGAAGGGAAGGCGCAACTAGGACAGTGGCAAGAGAGAGACATCACATGTGGGGGCGTATATTAGGTTCGTTTGTTCATTTGTTTTATAATGGGAGAGCTTTAAACATTTATGTACAGTGGAGGGAAAGTCAGAAGGGAGAAGTGGAAGATTTAGAAGAGGAAGGTGGATAAATGATGGCATCAGATTCCTTAGGAGGTGGGGTGGCTTGAGTTCTGGAGCCCTGGTTGAAGGTTAGCTTTGGGGAGGATGAGGGGCATCCTTCCTCCACTTTCTCAGGAAGGAGGTAAGAGTGTGGTTGTTGGTCAGGGGTGGAGGAAATTGAGGGAGTCTGACCTAATAACCTCTCTTTTGGTTCTGTGGAGATGTCATTTGCTGAGTAGAGGGAAGACTAGGAAGCTTGAAGAAAGTGATGGAAGTTTAGAATTGATTCTGTGAAATGTGAGAGAGGGAGTTGATTGGGAGCCCACAAAGAGACTGATGGGCAGCAGCAAGCAAGGGCCCTGTTGAGATGGGAGACCATGCATTTGCAGAGTCTCTGGTCCACTTGGTTGGGGCTTTTATGGCATCAATCTCTAGTCTGGGTGTGGGAGTGGAGAAGTAGGTTCTTAGAGTGGTTTAGGGGGAGGACAAGCCAGCAAGAAAGCTATGTTTAGGCAACGGAGTGGGCAAAGCTGGATAATCAGATCCTAGGTTTATAGTGGACAGGAAGTGAAGCTTGGAACATGGCTGATGGATCAGGAAAAGAATAGAGAGGGCATGGGGAAAAACTGGAATCTTAAACATAATTAAGATCAAGTATGATTTATTCATTCTTTCATCATTCATGCAATAAATCCTGAGCATTTATCTTCCAAACACTGTTCTCTGTGGTGTGGCTCCTTAGATCAAAACAACGATCGAAACCAAGTCCCTGCCCTGTTAGAGCTTACTTCTAGAGGGGAGGTAGAAAAACATATATATGAAAATGTTAAAAGGAAAAATGAAGGGTAAGGGGGTAGAGAGTGATGCTATTTTAGATAATGTGAACAAGAAAAGGCTCTTGGAAAAGATGACCTCTGAGCAGAGACTGGAATGTAGTTAGGACACAGCAATGGAAAGAGCACCCCAGGGTATGCAAACAGCATGGCAGAGCCCTGGCCCAGAGCTTGCTTGAGGAGTGGCCAGGTAAACTGGGGAGCATGAGTGAGGAGGAGAGTGGTAATTACTGAGGGCCGTGATACTTCAGGGCTGCAGTAGGACCTGGGATTTTATTCAAGTGTCATGGGAAAGCCATTGGAAGTCTTGAATCAGAGAAGTGACATGATCTGTTTTACTTTTCTGAAGGCTCATGTTGGCTGTTCTGTGGAGTTTTGATTGGCGGTGGCAGGTAAGGAATTGAGAGATGTAGAAGGGTAAGAGATTGTAGCCTGTAAGTAGCATATTGGAGTTTAAGATTTCAGAGTTGAATGCTTCTGGGTGAAGGATCCCATTGCTGCTCTTTTAAGCAGACACACCCACTCCACAATAAGCATTATATTCAGTGGATAAAGGTCTGACCCCCGACCCTTGGCTTCTGCCGCACCCTTTCCTGTTTTTGACTCTGCCCCTCACCAGCTTCATTATTCATTCTCCCATTTTGTCCTCACCAGTCTTTCAGATGTGATGCGCACTGTTTTCTGCCGAGCCAAGACTTCCTCTAGATTTAGGTTTACAGACCTTTTCGATGGAGTCTGATTTTAGTCTTTGAAAAACTTCCCTGGAAGCCCATGATGTAAGACAGGTGAAAGCGGGGGAAATGGAAGCCGGCAGTGCTGTGTTCTGCCCACTTAGTGCAGTTGCCTGACTCCCTGAAGCAAAGCCCAAGGCTCTCAGTTCACAGTGTGGAAGAGCCCCGCACTGATTGTAGCTACTGCCTCTCTTGTAGTATGCCATCTCCGGGATCACCTCGGGTCACCCTCTCTGGGTTCAGCATGTGCTGCCTTCATCTGCAGGCACCTAGCTGGCCAGACGGCAGCATGCACACCCTGCGTTTACAAAGCGGTATGTTGAGGACACTCAGAACTATGAGGTAGGCATGGTACATCGTCCCCAGTATTAGTTTTACTAGCTGTTATTTAATTTACTGAATCTGCACAACAAAAATGAATGTAGTTCTAATTATAAACCATGAGATCTTTCTCAATAAATTCTTTTATTGACTCTAATTAAAAATGCTAACATTTTTTAAATAAGAAAATAGGTATATTATAGTTTAGAATAACATTTGTGTGGACAAAACACAAGGCCAAGAAATATAAAGTTTGTGTGGGCCATTTAGTACTATGCCTTCAGTCTCCTGGGGATATTTAGTCCCTCTGCTTTGCATTAAAGTTACTTTGATAGACCAGGTTAGAACTACCTTTTTAGGTGGTTGGATTTGTAATTCTGTGTTTTTGTTTTTATGTTTAATTGAGCTATCATAACATTTTTATTCGTACAGGTTAGGAACTGGCTATGATACAGACATTGAGCCTTCAGGCTTTTCTGGTTAAAGGTAAAAATATGAGTATTTTCCTCTTTTACTCGGGTTTCATTTTGACAGATGTCATTAAAGTAAACATTGCTGCATTATAAAAAGGATTTATAAGAACCAAGTGATGGCCTAGTAAGGTCAATACTCAAAACAAGGTTATCCTGGGCCACAAAGTAAGTTTGACACTTTGGATTTTTTAAAAAAATAGGATATCCCTTGCATTAAAATCTGTAATGTTTCTTCTTGAGAGTTGAGGGTGGTTTTTTAAGCACTAAGATAAATTTCTTTGTTTGGATGGTTTGCCATTAGGAAATTGATTTAGCACTAGGGATTTTGTATAACACTGCCAAATTATAAGGTTAATGAAGTCATGTTCACAAATGCATCCTGAGCATAGCACCTGCCACATAACACTTAATAACTATTTTTTGAGTGAATGAACGAATCATCTTTGATATAACTGTGGAAATAATACTACCTGGTTATTGATACGGGCAGCATCAGGGTTGATTGAGGGCGCCATCCTGGGTGTGTGGTCAACAGTGTTGCCATGAATATATGGCCCCTTTAAACTAATAAAAATAGGAGCAGAGCTGTAAGTTGTTGTTTTTTTGAGTCTGCCAGTTTTCAAGTCTATTTAATCATATAAAATGCCAATTTTACCAGTAAAATGGGGATAGCAACACAGACTTTGTTTATTGAGCTTAAGTAGCTGCCCTAAGATTAGATGAGGTATATAGAGTGGGAGAAAATACATACATTAAAATCAGTTATCTGACAGTGGACTTGTATCCAGAATTTTTAAAGAACTCTTACAACCTGGTAATAAAAAAAGCAACACAATTAAAAAATGGGCAAAGGACCTGAATAGACATTTCTCCAAAGAAGACTTATAAATTGTAAATAAGCTCATGAAAAGATGCTCAACATCATTAGTCATAGGGGTAAGCAAGTCAAAATCACAAAAGATAGCACTTCATACCAGCTATTTGGTTATAATCAAAGATAGATAATAACAAGTGTTGGTAAGAATGTGGTAAAAATTGGAATGAACGATCATACATTGCTGGTGGGAGAAAAGGAGGCAGCCACTTTGGAAAACAGCTTAGCAGTTCTTTAAAAAGTTTAAACATAGAGTTACCATATGTTACCCAGCAATTCCACTCCTAGGTCTATACCCAAGAGAACTCAAAACACACATCCACATAAACATTTACACACTAATGTTCATAGCAGCATTATTCCAGATAGTTAAACATAGAAACAACCCAAATGTCCATCAGCTGATGAAATGGATAAGCAAAATGTGGTGGCATATTTTTCACACAATCCAGTGGAATATTGTTTAGCATGAAAAAAGAATGAAGTACTGACACATGCTGCAACATGGATGAATTTCAAAACATGCTAAGAAGTCAGACACACAAATTGCCCTATGTTGTATGATTCCATTTATATGAAATGTCCAGAATAGGCCAATCTATAGGGACAGAAAGTAGATTAGTGGCCGGGAAGGGTTGGAGAAGGGAGATGGGGAATGACTGCTAATGCATAGAGAGTTTCTTTTTAGGATGATGGAAATGTTCTAAAAAATTGTTTGCGGTGATGGTTTTATAACCCTGTGAATATGCCAAAACCAGTAAATCATCTGCTATGAAAGGGTTAATTGCATAGTATGTGAATTACATCTCAATAAAGCTATTAAAAAAAAGAATAAATGAGGTAATGTGTGGGAATATACTTTGAGCTACTTGAGAAGATAATATTGTAGTTTGACTGTGAGGCCTTTAAATAGTAGCAGGATGACTTAGATATTTTCCCTTGCTTGCAGGTCTGTGATTTTTATGCCACGACTCAACTTTATAAGGCAATATAAAACTCAGCAATATAAAATATTGGGAATGTTGAAACATTAAATGAAAACTGCTTGGCTTACTGTTTTTATTTAATAGGATTTTCTGAATCTGTTAATTAGCAATAAGTAGAATGTCATTAAAGAATTAGGTTTTGAATTATAAAATTTTAGAGCTGGAAGAAACTTTAGAAGTCATGTATTCTAGGCCCCCTCATTTTGTTTTATAAGTGAGAGAAACGAGTCCTGTAGGGTAACTAAGGTTAACTAAGATGTCTTAGGTCACAGAGTTGTGTAAATTCTAGAACTGAGTCAGCGTTCTTTCTCTTGACTACCATTGGTTTTGGTGCTGTGATGGTATTAGCACTAGTAATACCAATAACAGCTATATAAATGTTTCCCCGTATCCTAGGCATTCTGTTTGGTACTTTATGTATATATTCTTGGTTACACAGATACCGTAGTTGATTCATTTTACCTGGTGTTAGTTTCCTATTGCTCCGTAACAAATTAAGAGAAACTTCATGGCTTAAAACAACACAAATTTATTATCCTACAGTTCTGGAGGTCAGAAACCCAAAATGGGTGTTACTGAGTGTTGGCAGGACAGCATTCCTTCCTGGAGGTTTTAGGGGAGATCAGTTTTCTTGTTTTTTCCAGCTTCTAGAGGCTGCCCACATTCTGTGGCTTGTGGCCCTCCTTCCATCTACAGAGTCAGTGGTGGTGGGTCAAGTCTCACAGGCAGTCTTTGGTTCTGACTCTTACACTTCTCTCTTTTCCCTTGAAGACCCTTGTGGTTCCTGTGGGTTCACCTGGGTATTCCAGGATAGTCTCCTTATTTTAAGGTCAGTTGATTAGCAACCTTAATCCTGGTTGCCATGTAACATAATGTATTCACAGATTCCAGGGATTAGGATGTGGATATTCTTGAAGGGGATTTGGGTGCCTACTGTGCCTACCACATTCTGTTAAGTAAAGAGATTTAGGATCAGAGAGGTTAAGTAAGTCATTCAGAGTTGCAATATGAGCAACGAAAACGCCAGTGTTTTAACCCATGACTGTTATTTAGCATATCTTTTATGATTACATGGTCTTTTCCACAAATGCTGTTTCATCCTGGTCTGGCAAAGTAAATAGGACCCTGAGCAGTGTTCAGATAGTAAATAGCTCTTTCTTACTAAAGTAAAATCACATTTCCCTTAATAGTATTAAGAAACAAATTATATTAATATGGAACAATTAAAAGCATGGTGGAGGAGTATATTTATTGTTATGGAAACATGTTTATGACTCATCAAGTGTTTCAGTTCATTAAGCCCCTCCCCCCACTCCTCTCTGTTCCTTAGTTCCCTTCTGTCATCAGTTTTTCCTTCTCCAGCCCTAGCTGCCCCAATTCAGATTGCTGTCCTGCAGATTCCCTTATTCCTTTGCACCTCTCTGATCTCTCCCATCTGGCAAAGCCAGAGGACTGGAGGAGCCCAACTAACTGCCTGTTGGTTTCGCTTGAGTGATGTATACAGCAGCCTCATTTGCCTGGCAGCCTTCCCACGTGCCTCTGTTCTCTTACGCCCACAGCACACCTCCTCCATTCTTTCAAACCTTACCCCTGACCGGTGTCACTTGCCATCTTAGCCCTTTTCCCTGGAGTGGACCACTGTCGAGTGTTGCTTCCTTTCAGGAACACTCTTCTCTTGGCCTTTGGCCCACCATCCTTTCCTGCATTGCCTTTTCCCATTCTGGCTGACCCTTTTCAGTCTTCTGTGTTCGTTCTTCCACTTTTACCTGACTGCTGGAAGAGGAGCTCCTCAAGGTTTCTTATTTTTCTCACCTTGTACTTCTGGTTTTAAATATGATCTATTTGACTGCGTCTCCCGTATTTATTTCTCTAGCGTACATTTTCTCAGCCTCAGCACCTAGTGACATTTTAGATGGGGTAAATTTTTGTCAGGGGGCTGTCTTGTGCACCGTACGATGTATCGCAACAGCATCTCTGGCTTCTACCCACTAGATGCCAGTAGAACCCCCTCTATCCCACAAGTGGCAACCAAAAATGTGTCACACATTGCGGAGTGTTTCCTGGGGGGCAGAATCATCCCCAGGTGAGAGCCATTTGTCTAGCCTAAAGCTCTTGTCTGAGGATCTTGAGGATAATGCCTTTCTGGCAGCTCCCCTGGAATGTCTCCTAGGCATCTCATATTTAACGTGACCAAAGTAGACTCCTGTTATTTCTTTCTGGTACACTCTTCCTCCAGCTTTCCTCATTTCATTTATGGCCTTGCAGGTCATTGGAAATACTTGGCTTTTATTTTGAGTGAATTAGGGAGCTATCAGAGGGCTTGGGGCTAGGAAATGATAGATCACTATTGAGAAGAGACTATGAATTAGAAGGTTGAAGCAGGAACACTTGCTAAGAAATGCTGTGGTGATCCAGGTAGAAAGATGGTGTAGTAGCTTGGACCAGGGTGGTAATAGAGGGGACGGTAAGAAGTGGTATCTTTGGATTAAATCTTCAATACAGATATCCCTTGGAAGAAGAATACATTGTATTATCATGAGATTAGTATCTTAGAGTGATTTGTTTATCAGGTATTTGCTGAAAACTTCCAGGAAACAGGTTTTGGTGGATCAGAGTGAGAAGAGTGTAGCCAAAGCCCAGGAACTTGTGGGGATACTTGAATGACTTCAGGCCAGAACAGGCAGTAAAGTGAGAGTCTCCACAGGAGGAGTAAGGAGGAAGTCCAATAAAGCCAGGTACACTTCCCAGTCTTCCCTGTGGCAGGCCCTATCGCTGTGAAACAAGTACCTATGGCAGGGTGGATAGAACAAATGGAAGTCAGGAGATTTGCCTTGACTAGACATTGGAAGCAAGTCATCTTGGGCTATAAGCTAAAGTGAGGTGGCCATTGGCATCTGGGGTGTACATTTTGTACAAGATTGCCTTATATGTAGTGGAACACTTCAGATCTGTGGTTCCTCACTGGTAGCAATGTGTGCTCCCTCATTGTGACATCTAGAATGTGTCCTCCCCCCTCCAATTTCCAAACTCCCGTGGGAGTCAGATGTGCTCAACTGCAAACCACTTGACCAAGCCCCCCTTTCTAATTTTAAAATTGCCTGCCATAACATCAAGTCAAAAGGCTATGGCATGCCAAGCCCTCAAAGAAAATGC